CTGGGGCTCCAAGCGTCTGCAACCTAGCTGGTGCGCCTCTGAAAAGTCGCCCCTTGACACCTTGTCTGACAGGTTGGCCTGGCTGGTGACTCTCTGAAAGCTAACGAACAAGCCCTGACGGGCAACCCAAACCCAAAAAGCACCGATTAACCAGCAAAGACTCGGGTTTTTGGACGTGCCCTTGTTCAGCGCGTGCTCCGCGGCAGTGTTGTCGACGAAGCAAACTATGCAATCGAACTGGTCTTTTGCAACGACTGCCAGGGAGATCAACTGAGCCACCGCCTCCAACCAGTAGATGTAGTCGCGACTGGAACAGCACCGGCGTAAAACCGACTCTGGCACCTGTGCACGAAAACTCCATCGCTGGCCGGACGGGCCTATGTAGATGGCTCCCCATCCGTTGGTAGACTCCCGGAGTTGCTGTAGGGCAGTGCTGTCGTCCATCCACCGGTTGGCGCAACGGCGTTGGCCATGCATGGTGATGAAGGCATCGGCGTACAGCCTAGCTACGCGCATGCTCACAGAACGGGAAAGGTTAGGAAGGAACCTAGGTTTCAAAGCTGGCAAGAGTTCGACCAGGAGTCGAAAGCTGACTCGCAGCGCGGGCGGCAACTCAGCCTCGCCACTGCTCCCGCTGTGCTGTCTGCGGTACAGGGGCTTCAAGAGCCTGGCCTGCCTTCCCAAACACCCAGGCGCACACGAACGTCAACTTTCCTGCGAGACGGGCGGCCAAGGCTCCTGAACAGGTACCTTTCTGTAGGCACTCGGACAAGGAGTCCACAAGCTTTTGAACCCTCTCTGGGCCGGGGCTAGCCCACACGCCGTCCTGGAGGATCGTCCACAGAACTCCCAGCTCGCTTTTCCTTGGCCACCTTCATCCTGAACCCTAACGTGCTGTGAAACAGCTTGAAACTCTGAAAGCCTGAGTCGGCTACGTCAGCGGATTCGGACTGGTGGAAGTCGTCGACAAAGTGGGCGGAAGGTACGAACAGGAGGCTAACCGCCAAGAACGAGAGAACGTCCGCCACCCTGAGGTAAGACCACACGCTCCCCGTGCTGCCGAACGGGAGGCTGTTGTGCACGAACAGGCAACGATCCTTCTGAACGGGAAGGATTACGCCGCATTCGCTTGGCGATCGGACGGGTAGCCCTCTATATGCCCCTTCGTGATCCACCGCGCTGAGCAGCATGTTCTGACGAACAGGCGCGGACTGGATACAGCTAGCGAGGGTATCCACCCCACAATACGCAGGCGAGTCTGAGACCCACACTGTCGCGTTGTGGTGACTGCGCAACCAGTCGTCGGCACGCCTGACCTTCCCACCTTGAACGACCGGGAACGCACGGGAAGCACACGAACTGGTGTCCTGGAGGAGAAGCTTGGAGGCGGGAAAAGGGCCAGCCACGCGACCAAGTTTACACTCTTCGAGGATCTCTGCGAACATGGTTTCGGAGTGCTCACCAGACTTCAAAGAAGAGACCACTTCTGTCACGTGCGCCCGGTTTGCCGACCTGAACTCAGCTGGAGACAACGGACGGGAGTACTTGTAGTCTGACCTAGGAGCCCAACCTGTGCCTGGGGTGAGCGGACCCAGCAAAGGGAACCCCCAGAAAATCTCGGTAACCAACGCCCGACGACCTGGGAACTGCAGTAAGTCCAAAAGCCAAGTCAGAGCCAAAAGGTGCACCTGGAGTGTTGCCTGACCTCTGCAGTACCTGTCGAACGTGCTGGGGAGCGACAAGAAACCAAGACTCTTGTTCTTCGCGAAGTTCCTCGACCAACGCGGACAGGTCGTCGCACACAGACTGACGCCACGCGGGCAGCTTGCCCTGGAAGAGAGGCTGTGACTCGTAGCACCACTGGAGGCACGGGTTAAGCTTAACGGGAAAAAGGGCCAGAAAGTCCAAACCCAGAGCCCAATCTAAGTGAGCGAACGGGTCGTCGGTTGGGCCAGACAGCGTAGGCAGAGCTGGCTCACGGGGGTCCCAAGACAAGGACGACCGGTGCCAAAACGACGCCGCACGGACGAGAGGGCGGCTCCCGTCCGGGTGGAAACGAAGTTCTGCGGTAGGGTCCGGAACGAGCGGGTACCAACAACCCGGAGCACACGCAGACACCGACAACGCCTGACTTTGGACCAACACCAGGCACAGGAGCAAGCGAGCAACGGACAGGTGCCACGAGTTGCCGAGTTGCGTGCAACGCTCTTGTTCAGAGCACACCGCGGTGTACCCTGACGGCAAACACTGAAGCCATTCGCGCGTCGGCGCGTCTGGCGGGCGATCGACCCCAGCAATCCGAACGGGAGCAGTCTTGCGGTATTGCCACGGGGGGTATTGTTGCGACCCCTCTTTCCATCTCGCCATGGTGCCCGGCGACTCGCTGCGACGTCGCTTGGTTGGTGGCGGGCGCCCGGCCGGACTGGGTGCAGGAGTTGTAAGACAAGGGAAAAGAACCCGGCCGGCAACAACCTCGGTGTGAAAGACGGCTGTCGAACAGGTCGACGCGACCTGCTTCGGAAAAACTGGACTGGCCGGTAGTAGCTGCCAAAACCGGTTGTACTTGCGCCAGCGTGCAAGTCCACCGCACACTGACGCTGGAGTGGGCTCGTTGGCCTTGGGTGGGCACAGGTTGCTCACCCACCAAAGGCGTGTCCGTGACACAACCGACCAGGACGCGGCGTCGCAAACGAACGACGTGCAACACAGTTCTTTGTCAAAAAGATCTTGAATGTCTGGCTGCATCAAAACGTTCTCGACGACGAGAACCAACTGAAGGGTGCACACAGATGCGAACTGCTGTAACCACTTCGACCAGGAAACGAACTTTGCACCCTCTGGGCCTGCGACCCCTGGGGAAGACGCACCCCGAATGGCACTAAAGTCGTGACAAGGAGGTGCCGCGCACACTAACAAGACGGTGTCTGGGGAGCAACGGGTTTGAAGAGTGGATGCCAAACGACTTGGGTCGACTGTGAGGGCATCCCCTTGATGCTCGACCAAACGGTGTTGTGAGGTGCAGCAGCGCTGACTCTGTCTCGAACGCGAAGTACAGCACAGGCTCGACACACAACGTCTTAAGAGCTTGTGCTGCAACCCCGATGCCGTCGAAGAAACTCAACAACGCTACTGGTCGCAACTGTGTGAACGGGTCGGCCTTCGGAGTGGACTAGGAAACGGCTTGCTCGGGGACACCCGGGGGAAGTGGCGGGAACGGTTGTTCCTGAGAGGACTGGGCCCGAAGCTGAGGCACTGACACCGTGGTAGGCACACTCTTAGGCAACGGCTGCGAAGGAGCTGACTTCGGAGACACGGGGTTAGGGAGCCTAACTGGTGCCGGGGGCTTAGGGGGGAGAGGCAAAACGGCGCGGTTAGGGACTACGGCACCAGACACCGGGGATGCTGCAGGTGGCCGCCCACTGATCACGACGGGTGGCGCCCTTGGCGGTGGGGGCGCTCCGAGCTGTCCCTAGGCTGCAGGGTTCATGACTGGCGGCTGAGGCTTGTGCGGTGCGGTATGCGGCGGCTGCTGCGCACCGTGAGCGAACTTGCACGACGCTCCAAAACTTGCAGTGCCCAGCGGCGAACAAGCGACACTGGGGCACGCCTCCCTGCTGGCCCTGACCGGAAGA